AACAAGTTATACTGGACACAGCTAGTTCCCATTCTGAGGGCAGCTCAACGTCTTCTGAAGCTAAAGATTTAACAACACGTATTACGTTGGTACCCAGCAATGCTGGGCATTGTCTGTTGAAATCTGTGTCTGGCACGACAACTAACAAAATATCAAAACTATCATGAGACAAAAATGGTAAAGACACACTACATTCTATATATCCTAAATAATTCAAAAGTGAACCATTAGCCACCTTGACCTCCAATCCCAAAGACTGAAGTTCTCTCAGTGGTGGTTTGTCGGATAAGCCATTATAAAATGTCTCAGATAATGTGGAAATCATGGAACCACTGTCTATCAGACCTATGACCTCTTGACCTTGAATGCTAATAAGGGCCTCGTTAGAGGGACCTAGAAGTCTATCTAAAAATTTAGGACTATGGCCATTTGTCTCCTGACCGGCCTCTGTATGGCCACCTGCAGAGACCGCTAATCTTTTGGGTCAGTCTTTTGGTCCTTACCTTTGTCATTTCTTTTATGACCATTGTAACCTTGACCCTTGCCTCGGCCTCTTCCTCTGTAACCTGACTTTGACCTCCGCTCATCCTTTTTAGATGAGGCTTCACCAAGTTTGGATAAAATAGTGTCAAATTTGGCCTCAATACTAGAGTTTAGTTTTTCCTCTAAGGATTTGAGCTTTTTCTCAAAATCCTTCCCTATATCTGATACCTGTTGCTGGTCAACTTCACAATTGACAGCATGACTGTGTCCTTTTTTAGTTTTGTCTGGATTTTCATTTCTGTTAGTTTTACCTGTTGTGCCAGATTCTGAAAGAGAGATTTCCTTTTCAACAACCCGTATCTCACGCAGTAACGTGTCAAAATTATCCAACGAGTCATATTTGTGACGTGTCTGACTCTTTAGCTTATCTGACCTAAGTGAGGTCCAGAATTTATGCTTTAGCATGTCATTTCTTGAAGACGTGTTAAGAGAACCGTTCTCTATGGCAGTTTGTAGCAGGCTTTCGAGTCTGCACCCAAAATCAGTGACAGACTCACCTTGTCGTTGAGAAGAGTTAAAAAACTCTTGCATCAACATGCCATGAGTTGAAATATCTCCAAACAAAGAGTCAATTATATGGAGTATTTCCGGTATTGTGGCTCTCTCTCCAAGAGGTATAAGTACCTTCCTGGCTGTGCCTCTCAACGAGCGATGTATTGCTTGCACCAAACGTCCTCATCTCCATGCAAGCAACGGATCTCGTATCTCCATTCAGGATAGGCTACCTCCCTTTTCGAAGGGGGTTCACTACCCGAAAATATGGGGATTTTGGGAATGTTCTCGGAGACTCTACCTGAATGTACATTTGAGTCATTGACTCCAGTACTGTTCATAAATACTGAACTAGTACGGTCCCTAGGTAAAATTGGTGTCTTAGGAGGATTTGCCATAAAGCTAATCTCCTCTTTAACCGGGACTAATCGGTACTTACCCGAAGCCATAAGTATCTTTAACATTTCCTCCTCAGAGAACTTAGCTAAGGGTTTACCTAATATTTCTTGTAGGTTATCCTTACTATCAGGATTAATTTCTATATCATCCTTATCACCTTGGGCACCCCCGCCTTCCCGCTGGTCGGTATCAACCAACTTACTCTTAACCTCAGTATCCTCAGTATCCGACATACTGGCTAAAGGTAAATAACTGATAAAGTTGGCAATATATGTCTATTTACAATCAAAAAATATCTTTGATACAAATCTCTTCATCCAAGAGCGAGCCAATATATCTATTGGATGCACACCATCCCTGAGCAAACCAAAATTGATAGTTGAGTTTTTACCCGCTCTTTTGTAAACAAGTAGGTCTGACTTAAAATTTAAGGAGTAAACACACCCTACTGGGTTAACCCTGGTGTTGATATCCCTAATTTGGCTGTTCAGGATCTCAATACGTCTAAATAGGATGTTATCTTGCTCATCAAGCGCAATTTCCTGCGAATGTGAGTATCCCTTGCCTAAATTCCAATATTTAATTGAATATGGTGGGATTTCGAGTCACATGAAATCTATGTATTGGTAACAGAATTATTTAGTCGGTTTGGTGCTTCAATGTGTATACATACAGACCAAGGTCGAGAGTTTGAGTCAGGGTTGTTTCAGGCCATTTGTCAGAAATTTGGCGTAGAAAAGACTAGGACAGTACCAAACAGGCTTCAGTCAAACGGAGTGGTAGAGATTTAATAGAACTCTTATTAGCATCTCAGCTCTATCCCCACTGGTGGAAGTTGAGAAGAAGTTTAAAATAGTTGTTGTTTAGGAAAACCATGATTGTTCAATAGTTTTTCAAATGGAAGTTTTGACGGGGCTGAAAAAATAACAACACTTTGTCGGCTTCTTTTCCTTTACATCCCGAATCTACACGATTCTTAGTCATCACGGTTTTAATTATTTGTCTTTCTGTTCTGATTCCGTTAATTGTACGTTACTGCATTGAGAAAGCATTTTTCACACTTGTGGGAATTGTCGACTGAATGGTTTCTATCATAAACTCACATATCGCCATAAGGGGTATTCCACGATTCTTCTGTGCACCTTTACCGCTTTATGTGTACTCCACTAATTATTAATTTTACCTGTTCATCCCATGCCAAGTGCGCAAATGAATAGGGCGAGTCGGTAAACTTGATTTGCATACCATTTCGAAACAAGTTGTTGCAATTTCGTCCAGTACACTGATGGTACTTCAGTTGTATATTGTGAAGCAGATAAAATTTGCAAACACTAATAACTTGTAGCTACTTATGGGGTAACTGTTGTGCAAAGTTTTTCATAAAAAACCCACCTGATTTCGATAATCGAATGTGACAAAATCGGGTCGAATCTGATTTCGTGTTATTGCTTTTTCGCCAACCATATTTACAACTTCGCCACATAAAGAAAAAAGAAATTGGTCTTAAATTTAAGAACGTAAATATTAAGGTACATGATTGCTTGATCTGTACATATACCCAGTGGGCACACAACGTTGTATTCCAGTCAGATCCTAACGTTGTGGTTTGGTTGTGGTTTGGTTGTGTGTGAAAGTTTTCTAGACGTCATTTTCTGACGGTGTACCAACGTTGTGATGTGACTTTAACTACTACGTTGTACCGACGTTGTGTCAACGTCATGATTGTTTCAAAATATGACCTCTTGTATATAATATTGTGTAATGAAAATGGCTAATTCTAACCACGATTTTGAAAACATAAAACAACAAAGACTTTTTTTTTTAATTTCATATTTTAATGCACAGGCAACCCCTTGCTCTGCCTGACACTCTGAACACGTCATAGTCTTCATTACAGCTTCTTCATTAACAAAAAATTTTGAATATAAGATCCTCTATATTTATTTTTATAATGTACAAAAAAAGAGCTCATATTTTATGCTTTAATATATATGTAGATTTTTTTTAATACATGATAATATTTATTTTCATTATATACATAAATACAAAGCACATTATATTCCATGGTTATATATGTAGATGTTTTTAAAATAACCAATAGTTTAAATTATTCATAACCTTTTCTTACAGCTAATTTAATGTAATGACATACCTTTTACCACCTTGGCTAAATTTAGAGACTGGAATTTCCTCTTCCCCTTTTCCCCCTTCATGCTGTAAGCTGACATTGCTTCATTTGTCATCAGCCTGTCATGTAATAACATTAAAGCACGATTAGATAACTATATAGTTCTGTAGCATAGTCAAAGTCAGACTTAAACAAGAATAGATTTATCATAAAATGTTCAAAACAGCTCAGAAAAGGATAATTAGGTATTAGATTTATCTAGCCTTCTAAAAACCCTCAAAAATGTGTTTTTTAGACTAGTTTCACAAATATTAACTCTGACTCTTATGTTTGATACAATTTTGAGATGTGTTTGTCCCTCTAAATTTCTATTTTTGAAATTGCAAAATATCAAGGTTAACTTGAAGTCCTGTTAAGCCACAAAATTCTTGGACTAGCATACATGTATCACTGGTGTTATAATTTTAATAATTATTCTGAATCTATATACATATTGACCGGTTATGCAATGTTGTCGAAGTCATAGTCAGAGGCTCGAGTCCCGCTTGAGGCATGTATATACTATCTTTCAATATGCATAGCTTGGTTATTTATAATTCTCTCCATTTATTATCATACATCTATATATTTGTATCCTTTAAAACATCCCAGGCTTATTAAAGGTTAGCGATTAGAAGTGTGTGTGTGTATATGTTATAATGCATCATATACTTACTTCTGCAAGATCTTTCTTGAATTTTCATTAATGCTGCCTCCTCCAATGAGTGCAAGTGTCCAAATCTGATAGATAAGAGAACAACATTTACAAAGAAATATATAAATAACAAGGCAATACAATTTGTTACTTAATCAAAGCTGCAACAATAATAATAGAATTAATCACCTCTTGTATAAAATAGTGATATCTCACCCAAGGAATGGGATTGTTTGTCCTGAACGAGGTTTACTCAACCACGGGTGATTGGTTCTTTTTCTCACATCTTTTAACATTATTGTTAACACAAAGTGTTAAATATATGATTTTCCAGAAAATTCAATGAATTTCCTTCTTTGATCTGCTGTAGCGACGACATATTTTTTGTCTATAATAGCAGCGTACGCTTATTTCATCCTAGGTTGTGATAGAGAAATGTCACACAGGTTAAAAGTCGGGAAATCCCACCACGGGTGTGAGAAATTGTTGGTCGAAATATCATGATACAGAAGCTGCAATTGGATTTTCCACAAGTGGTACTTTCTAATGATACACGTACATATACCAATGAGAATTATCAATTTGACATATATGGCCATAACAGAAAGATATCTTAACTTACCCATTTTAGAGCACTCTTCTGGCGATTCTAAAATCCTATTCATCTCTTCCACTTCCTCTACATTGGATGCTTGAAAAGGAAGGTCAGTGGTGTCACCCTCCGACCCTGGTCGACGCAGTTCTTTAATTTCCATACGAATCTCCACAAGAAGATTCATGACCTTCTTCTGAAATTCTTAAGATCAACACTTTTGTGTAAAGAAGTTGAAAAATGTAAAAAAAAATGTTCTTCGTTTCGTAAATTATGGTACATTAATCAGTGGAAAAATCCTCGAGACTTTGCTTTTTGGTGCTGTTATATAATGATTCACTATAGTTCAAATCTTTTCATTGAAATAATAAAATAATAAATTAAAAATATAAGCAGCGTGTATGTACTTAACGCGCTAGTGAATAGAAATACAATAGATCTTTTGTTATTGAACAATAGGGTCTTTTGTTTGATTTCTATAGGTTATTGTTCGAAGACAATATATCAAAGGGAATCTATTGTTATGGATTTTAAATATCCATTGTTATCGATTTGTAAAGGTATTGTTATCGATTTGTAAAGGTGTTGTGTGTCTATTTGGCGTGGCATAGCGCAGGTGTTTGAGGTCATTGACCACGACAGGAATAGACTTGTGTTAATGCGGTCGTACTGACATGCTTAGACTCGCGTGACTCTCAAGGTCAATGGTGCTTGGACTTGTGTAGGTCAGGGAAAAACCTAGAAAGTGTAATAAAAATAGAACATGTATCTGAGGGAAGGCGTCCTTGATAGCAGTCTGTGTCTCTTGAGGTCAATGTCCTATACTCCAACCAGATAGGTGTTTAGAGGTCACTATAGTCACGTCAAAATCAGCAACACAATCTTGCATAGGAATTAGTAAACTGTGATAATTATAGAATGATGTTGCTGGGACAACACATCATAACAAGTTTGACTTTATTTTCTTGATTGGCTATATTGATTGAATTTAAAATAAAAACCATTGACCAATCAATGTGATTGTTGTTATTACCATGACGATATACATTCACAACTAGAATTTCCGTCAACTATACTGGATGAGGTACAGGTTTGAATTCAAAAATAAAACCATTGACCAATCAGTTCAATTTGTTATTACTGTGGTGATATGTAGAGTACTTTAAAAGCAACAGATTTCTCCCCCGTAGTTTACAATTATTCATATATGTTGATTCATGAAACACATTTTTTTAACATCTTGTGTGTGTTTTCACTGAACATTTTTGAGTTCCACATAAGCTACCTCTCAATTTTGGGATTTGCGTTTACCATTTGCTGTTGAAGACTATCATCATCATAAAAAAAGCCAAGAACAGATCAAGGTAAGTCATTTTATTTTATTTTGAATTTCAAAAAAAGCTACAAGTGATATCGAGACATCGCCGCCATTTCGTCCCCAAAGACTAAAAACGGGACCCGGTACACAATCCGGAAAGTATGCACAGTACAGGAAGAGTTAAAGCAACAAGTTGATTTGCTTCAGTTCTAATTCAATCTCGCATATTTTCTGATTCACATTTTCTTTTTCTTTTTCCAACATCTCTTTCTCCTTTGTTAAGTCCTCTTTTCTGTTAAGTAGGATTTTTCTACAAAACATTAAAATAAGAAAAAGTTTTAAGTTAAAATCAGAAAAAAAATAATGAATCTTATACGAAATGTAGCTGTGCTTTTTATTCTGGGCATATTGTATATGTGATGTAGTTCAATTCGTGTTTACCTTGCACATGGTAGAGTGTGTTTTTTTCTTTTTTCTTTTTTAAATGACTAATTGCATATTCAGTAACATATTAAATATTTGTCATAACAATACGATGAGACAATAAAGAACCTCAAGGAATCTTGACGATTAATCGATGATTGAAGTTTTACTTACCTTTGGTACATTTCTGGCGATTCCTCATCCTCCGAAATTACTGTACATGATGTATTTTGTTTTTGGGGTGTTGACGTTATAATTTCCGTATGGACTAGACTGTCATCCCAAGTAATGGAATCACTAGAAAATGAAATGAAACCAAGCTTTTAGAACAAACTGTATCATCATTTTATTATTTGTTAATCAAATGATTGAATAAAGAAATGACAATAAAGGTTCGTAAAACAGAAAAAAATTACTTTTTTTTCAAATGGATCCAACATTGATGATTCTTCTAAGTCCCCAAATTCCTTAAAGACATTCACTATTTGAGTATCCGTTATTGAGGTGTTAGAAGCCATCTTCAAGACTGGGGGTGGTAGAAAGGTGGGCACCAGTTTTATGGTTGTCACTAGAACTATAAGGGAACCAATCATTTTTTATTTTTTGTTAGATTTTTTGGAGGGAAGCAATTTTATTAGTCTTACCAAACACTATTCAATCTAAATTTTTAGCTAAAAGGTCAATAACCTGAACCCCTTTTCAAACAAACTTTAGGGAGGTCGTTGTCCTTTTACAAAGGTATTTATCAGTTAGGATGGTTTGGGACACAGATCGACAATGACCCTCGGTTTTTAAATCTGTAAAGTTATCTCCTAGGGTTACCTTTAGTGGTCATTCTATAAACAAAGGGATGTGTTTGTCACCCAAACTTAATTATCACACAGAAAAAAAGCAATACGTTTTCATTAAGGTGTTGATAAGTGATATACAATATAACAGAATGTATTGTATCTAAATATTCTGTTGATGGGGTTTGTACAGAAACATGTCACTTTTCTCATTCACACCTCATATCAAGCTAAAATGAAACAACACACATGA